GTCATTTGGCATCCAGAATATTTCCTGATGCAAAGGCCTCTGGATTTGTTCATGAGTTCATTCTACAGTTTCTTTCTAGAAAGAATAATAGATTCTAATGCTCAGCATGTATGATAATATGAATTCAACCTTATATGTCAAATGTATGAAAGTGTGTGTGGTACTATTCTATTCCATGTTTTCACTGTTTTGATATGATAAAGGAACCCACATTTCCATCTTATGCAAAGTAAAGGCATTGTACTGCTGCTGCTGCTCTGTTTTCAGCATGGCATCAGGCAGGCTTATTTTTGTAATGGTGCTGATACTCAGAATACCCAGTCTCATTACAAGGTGCTCTTCTACTTTTTATGTTACAGAAATCTGTGTAACCACATAATTTACTAAGCATCCTCAAGCATAGGGCATGGGGCTTTTTCCCATCATCCTAGTTGATGTTTAAGCTGAGATCTGAGTCAACCAGTACTTTATACCTGGTTGGATGATTATTTGGGACATAGGAAGAGTGATCCAAGCATTTTCTGATTATTTTATGGCAACTAGAGTAGTCAAGAAATTGGGCATGAGGTAGGGTGTGCATCTGAGTTTAGATTTTTCGTTGTGTATATGAAAGGGATGACAGGTCAGATGAGTGACAGACAAAGGCTGAAATGGCTAAAAACTGTTCTTAAAAATGGTCTTGAAGAACTTAAAAGCAGCGAATTTTGTAGTATGGCATGCTATAACTAAGTTTTTTATGTACTTTGTTCTGAAATCTTTACATATGTGGTTTGGACCTGTGGGAGTGTAAATTTGAGGGAATTAACAATAGTTTTTCTAGGCTCAGAGTGAGTGTCCTAATTATTCAAGCAGAAAACAGATACTAGTCATGGGCAAAATGTATTTGGTAGAACTTAAAAGTAGCAAAGAAATTCAAATAATTGAGAGTAAGTTATTGAAAACATAAACTTTCCAGGTCGTGCCAACTGCTAGAAATGAATGTTGGCCCCACAGAAATAATTGGAAGATCATTTGATTTTAGTAGGACAATAACCCTTTTCAGATTAAGAAAACCCCCAAAACAATGACAAATCCCAGCATTTTGAACATGTTGATCTTCTGAAACTGTGGTGAAAATGTAACTTCCTTTTACCATGAAACCTGGCTTCACAGGGGACTGAAGAGAAGCTGACAAAAATAATTAGCAAATCATGCAATTGTAGAAAAATGCATTTTCACCATCTCTTGAAATCTTATAAATTGGTGTTGAAGTTATCAGTTAGTGTTGTCCCTTTTGATATAATTTTTCAAAGTGAAATAATTAAAACTTTTTGTTTGAGATCTTACCTGAAAATTATGTAAAACCATCTAGGGTTAGATAACCCCAAAGCTAAATGACATAATTTTGAGTTGAAATACTTGGACTATTTCTTTTAAACAGGTAAGTCCTTTGGTGTAATAGTGAAATTGAGTGGGAATGCTCACTTAAGACTGGAGACTTTGTAAAAAGCCCATGTTTCCCTAACAGAAAAAGTCAGTGTAGAAGAACAAATGGTAATCATAAATACATTGGCAAAAGAGAAATGTGTGTGCATAGAGAACCTTAACACGACAGTAAGAATATTGACAGTTAACCCATTTCTATTCAGCCATATCCTAATACAAAAGCCAGATTGAAATATCTTGCATGAGTTGCAGTTCATTAAACAAATGTGACACTTTATTTTCTAGCTATTTCAATACTGAAAGAGGTGAAGTGGTGAGATAGCAATATAAATGAACACACTTCTCCGTGTGCTGAGAACTCAAGTCCATGTAAAAGAAAAAAATATTTAAAAGATTTTTTAATATTTGGTTTCTGTGTCCTTCTCTTGCCCCCAAACAAAAAGCAGAATCCATTTCCTGAATCTGAGTTTTGATTTCTAAACTTAAAGGATAATATATATATTGTCTCTGAAAATTAATTATAAAAAGAAATGCCACTACTGCATTTAAAACTAATAATGAGATGACTCATAATGCTGTCTTATATTTTAATTGAAAAAATAATCTTTGTTAGTGTTTGCTGATAGCAATTTCTTTTAGCTGATATTTTTAAATAACATTTTATATATTTGAATTAAATTTATAATTTGCAACTACAAAGCTTATCTGTTTGGGTGGGTTTTTTTGAGAATTTCTTCCCCAACTGTTATTTCTGTCTGAAAAATAAATGTAATATTCTCTAGCAAAACATTCTCTGGAGATCTCTTTTCTTACTTGAAGAATACACTGTCTCATTTGGTATAGCTTTTAATTCAGGTCATTGCTTTGCATACATTGCTATTTTAAAATAAGATCAAAGTAAAACACCATTATAACGGATATTTAGTCATCACTCAGAAACAGAAGAATTAATGATACAATTTTAAATATGTGTCCTGATAACATGACTGACATTAAAAAAAAAAAGCTGTGATCTGAATGTTGTCAATTTAGATTTAACAAATTAGCTAAGTAGCTTGCATTTGTAGTATTTCACACCTTAAAGCCTTAATATGCATTGCTAAATATATTTCCTCACTGTTTGCTAATTAATGTTCTGTGGAAGTACAGCTGCTAATATTTCGTGGTTGATATGGCTCATTTTAAAGTGCTAACAGCTGCATCTGTAGTAGTGTTACATTTCAGTTCATAAGTTATGGACATACATTTTTACACCTACTATTTTGTACAAGCATTTGAAAAATCTCTATTTGCTAACAAAATGCACCCAGTAATATTTAAACAAACCATGAAAATATCCCCCCGGATACCACCACTCTCTGAGATAATAGTGACTCAGTGAGTCTTTCATGTGTAAAGTTTTAAATGTTGCAGGAAATGAACATCTTTTTTCTGTAATATCACAAAGTGTCTTCAGGAGTGGCTCTTGGTAATTAGTAAAGACTAATATATTCTGATGGTAAAATAATTGGACTGGAACAATATTGTGTGACAGTGCAGGGAAAAATATTTTTCTGAGGGGAATAAATAAATACTATCAGAATATCTTGCGGGAGAAGACTAAGAGAATAAAAAGTATTCATAAATGTGTTTTGTAAGAAAGATTTTTTTTAATATTTTGAAAGAAACATCAGCACAAGCAATCCAGGAGGGTCCTGGAGTGCTCTGATGAGAGCTTCTCCCTGCGTAGATAGGACTTGGAGGAGAGGTGCTTTGCTGTACCTCATAAAGAAGGAGGAACTTGTTTGAGGTGTCAAAATTGAAGACAGACTTGACATAGCAACAATGAGATGTTGGAGTTCAGCATCCTGAGGAGGAGGAGGAGGAACAGGTCAGAAAGGAAGCTCACAACCCTGGGCTTCAGGAGAGTAGAGTTTGGCCACTTCAGAGATCTGCTTGGAAAAGTCCCATGTGGTAAGGTCCTGGAGGGAAGAGAGAGCTCAAGAAACCAAGAAAGCTGGTTAATATTCTTGCAAGTTCAAGAGCCATCCCAGTGAATAGGAACTTGGGCAAAAATGAATTAATAGGAGCTTGGCCTGCAGGAATGAACAAGTTGTTCATACACAAAGACGAAACCTACATACAGGGAGTGAGAGCAAGGACATGTAGTCTGGGAAGAATACAGGGACATTGTCTGACCATCCAGGATTGAAGTTAGGAAAGCTGAAGTCCAGACAGAATCTGCTTGTGAGTCAAAGAAAACAAGATAGGCAACAAAAGGAAGACTAAGGACAATCTGGGCCCATTGCTGAATGAGACAGGGGGCCTCTGAATGGCACAGGACACAGAAGAGGCTGACTAATGCATGTCTCCTTTGCACAGTCTTTACCAGCAAGGCCAGCCTTCAGGAATCCTGAATTCCACCAACTGGGGGAAAGTAAAGTGTACCCTTGGTGGAAGAAGATCAGGTCTTAAGAGAACAGGGGACAAATATGTCCATAGTCTGATTGATTTGCATCCACAAGTGCTGAGGAAGCTGGCTCTTGTCACTGCAGTGTCACTCTTGATAATCTTTGATCAGCCATTGTAACTGGGAGAAGGGACCAAAGATTGGAGAAAGGCAAATGTCACTCCTGTCTTCAACAAGGGCAAGAAGTAGGACCCATGGAATGCCTGGCTGGTCAGCCTCATATGAGAAAGTGATGGAACAGGTAATCTTAAAACAGTTTCCAGGTACATGACAGACAAGAAAATCCTATCATGAATAGAGTGCTTGACTTCAGCAAGGGGAAGTCATGCTTGGCCTGCTTGATAAGTTTCTATCAAGAAATGTCTGACTGGGTAGACGTGAGAAAAGCTGTGTATATTGTCTACCTAGGTTTCAGTAAAGCTGTCGATAGTGTTTTCTGTAGGATCCTCATAAAGAAGCTTGTTGATGTGTGGGTTGACTGAGCAGACAGTGAGGAGAGGCTGATATTCCAGAGGACTGTGCTGTCAAAGAGAGGGACATTGACAGGCTGGAGAAATGGCCTGACATATCTACATGAAACAATGAAGTTTGGAAATTACCATATCCAGGACTGGTGGAAGTTGTTCAGTCTGTTTTATCGGTGCAAGGATTAAGATATCCAAAGGTACAACTTGAAAGTATGCCTTAGGGAAGAAGCATTTCATGGGCAGCTGGGAACTATCAGGTCAAGCTTAGGTATGAGGGGAGGGTCTTAGTTGTTTACTGTGCTATGAAGAAGGGTAGAAATATTTTATCACAGATTATTTTAGTGACACACAATCATTGAGTGATTATATAAGTAGTTCCTTCTGGATAGCTGTTTCAATGTTTTCATGTGGAAAATGTATACAAATGGGGCACAGCTTGAAGTTATTAGTTGATATTTCCATATAGTTTTCCATACTGAATTCTACTAATGGCCATCCAACAATGTAGCTGCAGCAAACTGTCTCATATATAAAATGGGGAAAACTTAAGATAACTTCAAGTTCTACATTGCATTTACTCTGCTGTATGTTAAATTACTATATTTTTATAAATTTGCATATGCTTAATATTTCTTTTTTTTTTTTCCCCACTCCACTAGATGCTTGTGACTACTCCAGAGAAATGGGATGTAGTGACAAGGAAAAGTGTTGGTGATGTAGCCCTCTCTCAGCTGGTAAAACTCTTGATTCTTGATGAAGTTCATCTACTGCATGAAGACAGAGGACCAGTACTCGAAAGTATAGTAGCACGTACTTTACGGCAGGTAAGAGTAAAAAAAGTCTTCAAAATAATTTTGTTTTGGTCAAGAATAGATAGATGTCACTGTAAAAAGTAACATGCTTGGACAATTAAATAGAAATGCTTAGGCAGTTTACAATTTATTTTATAGCTGTTCTGTTTTAAAGCTGTGAATGAAGAATGTGGATTTTTTTTGTCTTCTACTTTTCTTTCTGTATTATATCAACTATCAGATACCTAAGATGCATAATTTATTACAGTTCTGTTCCTTATAATTTATTTGCCTAATTTATTCTACTGTACAAGTAACAAGAAAATTAAACATTTTTAAGCAAATAATAATCAGGCTAATGTTTTAACACAATGAGAATTGAAATTATTTTCTTGCCAGGAATGCTTATTTTCAATTAGCAGTTTTCCTAGTAGAATTTCTTTTTTTTTGTTTTAATTAAGAATAGTGTCTTAAATCTAGGTAAAACTTTCAGCACTGCTAGAAAAATACTACATAATTTTTAGTCTAGCATTAATGGTCCTTTTGTTTTTCCCTACGATTTAGTGATATTTTCTAAATACCAAGATTAGAAATGGAAAAAAGGAGAAAAGGGATTTTTTTCTTGAATCTTGTACAAAAGAAGAATTCAGAGTTAGGCAATAAATAAGGTTGGCCTCAATAGTGGCTATTGAGTTGGCCTCAGTGTGCTTCTACAAGTAAAGTAAAATATGGAATTTGGAGATGAATAAAAAGGAAGGATTTTGGAAAAATAAATTATGGGAAGAGGGAGAATTGAGTGCATTTTTGTTGGTTTTTTTTTTAATGAAGAGCAAAGCTCTATCCATACAAGTAACCTGTAGCAAATTAAAATGAAATGGGTGTTTTTATGGCTCTCTTTGTAGCATATTAAATATTTAAAGCATTTTAGCTTTCAAGATGCTTTTTTTCCTTGGTAAGGCTACACTAACCTTGTTAAGGCTTTTTGAATCATCTGATTCCAACCCTGCTAAGAACAGAATGAAATTAATGTCTGCTCTAATGTGGTACAGCAAGTGTAAAGTTCCTGTGTAAAGAACAATATAAGTAACAATTCTTTAGAAGAAAGTTCAGAGTACCTCAAAGGTGCTAAACTTGAGCTGTTTGATGTTGTATTTTCTTTCTTAAATGGTTTTGATAACCTTGTTTTTCCTTAGGTGTCTTTATAGTAAACCATCTCAGATTTTTGCAGTGACCATGATAATCATTTTCTTCATGTCAGATTGCAAGATTTATTCATTTCTTACTGTGAAATTTTGTGAGACTTGTAAGATAGGCTTCAGCTGTCCGAAATAGATGTTGAGAGCCATTTTATCCGTCCTACATTACTCAGCTTGGCATTCCATTTCTGCTTTGTTTGGACACAAATCTCCCTTATATCCTTCCCTTTTGTGTCTGTCAAGCCTGTGTAGGTAACTTAGGGAACATAAAATCTGAGGCAATTATGTTTTGGGTACTGAATCCTATCTTTAGTGCATTTAATGTAATACAGCAGTATCTTGCTTCAGCACTCATTTACCAAAATAGCTCTTTTAAAAATGGGTGTTTTAATCTCCTAGGATTTCAAGGTTTGTTTTACCTACTGAGTTGGAATTCAATTCATCTGGAGCTGAAGCTACCCAGTTGTAACCCTTCTTTAAGGGAAACAGTTGGGAAATAAAGCAGTATACAAGTTTTGAAACTGACCATCTCACCACCTTATTTATTCTAATTTGATAAGAAAGACAGTAACAGAGACCCATATGTATCTTTACAAGTAGGTAGCTTAAGAGAGGGAAAATTTACAGTATAAAGGTACACTGAAAAAACTCACAGTTAGAAAGAAAGTAAAATTACTTTTAGAATTTTTTGGAATTCTGCTGTAGGAAACAATCGCTGACAAAAATATTTCAAATGGCAAGCTTCCCAGAGAGCCCGGGGACAAAGAAACAGGAGATGTTTTGTAAAGTTGTTTTGTTTTTTTAATATGAAAACAAATAATAAGAGGATTACTTTTTAAAATTACACTGAAATATTATACTTCAGCATCTGAGCTTGCAGGCATAGTTCTATGAAGTTTGCAGTATACATCCACAGCTATGAAGTTACTGGAACTTTTTTGCAGTCAATAAAGAAAGATCACATAATGTATCTGATTTCAGAAGAATTTTCCTGGAATTTAGTGAAAATACTGTTATATATGCTCAAAGTGTAAAAAAAATCACACCTAATGTTTTAATATTACTTTGTGAGGAAAAGAAATATATTGTTGTATTTTCTTGGTTTTGTTCCTTGCCCATAATTCCATTTTATGTATTTTGATAGAAATTCATGAATGCCCCTGGAGCATGAAAAAAAGCCAGGATATTTAGCCCATCCCTGGAGAATGTCCTTCTGTCTTTAGTGATTTCAATCTCCTCTCCAACCTTCCTGAAAGTAGCTATAGGACTTACTTTTCATTGATATCTATAGAAATATCATACTTGTTCAGTATTCATGCACACAGGAAGTAAGAGTAATTGTTCACTTCTTGAAAAACAAAAAGTACCCCAAGGACAATATTAATCTGAAATGTCCTTATGTCAACTACAGCACTGTTATAATTGCTGAAATCAATTACCTGATTTGTATACTGGTTTCAGACATCCAAAATATTGACTATTTTCTCTTCATTTGTAGTGGAGGGACAAGTAATTCAAAACAAAATCCATTGCAGAGCAGTAGTCACTAGATCAGAACTGGAGGCTGTAGTAACTGAGATCTATTCTGGTAAATATCATTGACATTTTCCCACTTTCTGTACTGTCACTTTTGGCTCCTGCAGGAGACAGTGCATTCAAACAGTATAATTTTTGATCTGACCTGGAACAGTCATTTCTTTTATCACTTCTAGAACAGAACCATGATAAATTTCTTGAATACTACTTCAGCCTTTTCCATAAATCACTAATAACAACTCTAATAATGCATGTACCTGTAGTTCCATCTGAATCATACTTCCCTAGCTTGTGTATGAGACAATGTCATGATTGCTGTGCAGGTCAGGATGTACAGTGTAGTGCCTTTTACCTTTTGCAGGGTTTGTTTTCCTGTCTTAGAGACAAAGCATCTCTCTTGTTTCGTTGGAGGTATGAGGGGTATTGTGATTAGATGGTGTACAACAGAAAAAAAAGACACTGGATTGGGGTTTTGTCTTCTTAAGAATTAGTATTCAACTAGATACTTGGGCCTACAACTGTGCCAGAAAAATATGTTTTGAGATCTGTATTGATATGAGGTAAAAATACAGCTATCCAAATGCATTCTTAAAGCAGGAATATCCTGATGCATTCACAGGTCTGTCCTAATTTGTACCTCAAAATACTTGAATGATTGATGTAGTTTCCCCCAGATGAGCACTGAGTCACACCACTTACTGTAAGACTTTAACACGCTCATTTTAACTTATGGCATTTTTTAGAATTAGGTTTTATTTAAACCTGGAAGGAGTGTATATATTGGAATTGCTGACAGTTTTACTCATAGCAGAATGAAGGGCATATTTGTGCATGTTTGCACTTTTCAAATTTTAGAGAATGTTTTTGCAAGTGATTTAAATTGACTTTGCTAAACATTTTGGTGGGAAAATTGCTCTGAGCTCTGTTATATACTGTAGGTATAACATCAAACAACTTATTTGAATCCAATTTATAGCTTTGATGTTTAAAGTTTTAGTCCAGAGCATAATGCAGATGTAAAACTGAAATGCTTAAACTTTTTAATCAAACTTTCCACACTACTGTAATATACTAAGGTTATTAGCTTGAAAGAAAAAAATTTACAGTTTTTACAGGCCACTGAAGTATTTTGTTATAATTATTCAGAGATTTTGATTACTTCCTTGCTGCTTATGGGTATTTTTTCACAAAAAAACCATACTGAATACTACACTTGAGTTATACACAAGTTTTGATACCTGTTCTCAATATGTGAATGATAAATTTAATAAAAGAAAATCCATATTAAAAGCTTTCTCAGATTTTGGGATACCAAAGCTGCCATCTTAGACATACAAATATTGTTCTCAGAACTGTCTCATTTTTCAAGTTAAAGTTTCAGTTGCTTTATGTCTTTGTATTAGATCAACAAATTTAGTATAGATGTGCTAACACAGCAGTACAAGGAATAGAAGAGATTCCTGGAATACATTGATGAGAAAGGCCTCCTCCAGGCAACAGAGGACTCCACAAGCAGAGGTGCTGTGCTGCACCTTTTACTCATCAAGAAAGGAGGAGCTTGTTGGGGAAGTGAAGATCAAAGTCAGCTTTGACTGCAGTGGTCACAAGATGTGTGAGCTCTTCTTCCCCTGGAAATTCTCATGTTTCCTTTCTGAGCTTTCTTTGCTCATGCTCCCCTATTTAAGGAGCTTTTCCTTTCAGTTGTAATGTAGTTTTCTTTGGTTTTTCTTTGCATTTTCAATATCTCTAGTGCCTTATTATTTCCTCTACCTAATTTTTTTCTGTCCCTTTCGTTCACTCTTTTACCTCTTACTAGAGATCATTGGCAAACAAGTTCAGCCAAAGCCAAATGTCTACTTGTTATCAAATTAGGAATTTTTATGTGCTTGGAATCCCATTCTTGGCTTTGATAATTTGATCAGTTTAAAAAAAAGGTCAAGATTGATAGCCAATGACATAAAACCAGCTGCTTAGATCTGTCTTTTATGAAATGGTGGCCCACTGTAGTTCTTATAAGGGTCTTTTTAGGACTAGAATGACAGTGGCATTTCATTGGGTTCTTCAGTTCTCTCTGAAGTGACTTCTATTAGTCTTTTGTCTCTTTGATATTCCACATATAAACTAACCAAGTTACCTAGCAACTTTTATTAAAGGATAAACCAAACAAGGTTACTGAAGCCTCCTGCAATAATTTTTCCACTTCAAACTCTAGTGTTGCGAGGCCTCTTTTCACTAGACTTTCCTATATTCACAATTGTATTTGTAAAACATGTCAGCAGAACTGGATATAGATAAAACTTT